AGAGAGAGAGAGAGAGAGAGAGAGAGAGAGAGAGAGAGAGAGAGAGAGAGAGAGAGAGAGAGATGTGGACCTCCACCCCGACCTCGACACTCTCATTTGCGCGGTCGAGCAGTCGCCACGCGTCGCCACAAACACACACACAAGCACGGAAAGGGAAAAAGTTTATTTTTTGCATGATTTTTTCGTAGATTGATCGATTGATTGATTGATTGGTTGTCGGGGGGTCGGCTCCCCCCCCAGTGTGCACACACACACACACCAATCAATTAATCAATCAATAATTCTTTTTTTTTAACATTTTTATTGATTGATTGATTGATTCCCGCGCCGGCCGCAATGCTGACGCGACCACAATCATGAGGGGACCCGACTAACAGGAATGCCAATCCGACCCGACCCGACGGGGCAGATTGATGCTCATCCCGACGAGAGCAATCAATCAATGAATCAATCAATCAATCGATCAATCAAGGAATTGATTGATTGATTGATTGATTGATTGATTGATTGGTCGATTGATTGATTGATTGATTGATTGATTGATTGATTGATTGATTGATTAATTCGTGAGCCGGCACCAATCGATCTATCAATCAATCTTTTTCTTTTTCTTCCTCTTCCCCTGCCGTTGTTGCCGTCATCCCGATCCCGTTTACGGGGAAGCTCAACACGTGGCAAAATGGCCACGTGCCAAGTTGGCCACTTGCCAAGTGGCCCACGTGGCAAGTGGGCCCTGCTTGTCCTCCTCCACCTCCGCTTCCGCCGACTTCCCCACCTCCTCCGCCTTGGCTTCCGGCTCCGGCTCCGCCTCTGCCTCCCCCTGCGTGTCCTCCTCCACTTGTGCTTCCGTCGACTTCTCCACCTCCTCCGCCTCGGCTTCCGGCTCCGCCTCCGCCTCCGCCTCCCCCTGCGTGTTCTCCTCCACCTCCGCTTCAGTCGGCTTCCCCACCTCCGCCGCGTAGCCTTCGGCTCCGCGTGCGTCTGCGTCGTCGGCTCCGCGTCTGCCTTCTTCTTCTTCTTCATCTTCTTTTTCCTCTTCTTCTTCTTCTTCCCCCGACTTCCTCCCTTGCTTGCGCTTTCCCCCCGCTTCCGCTTCTACTCGCTACCTCCCCCTCCCACATGACAAGATCGCCACGTGGCAAGTTCGCCACCTCCCCCTTCCACGTGGCAAGATCGGCACGTGGCAAGGTCACCACGCGGCAAGCTCGCCACCTCCTCCTCCCACGTGACAAGATCGCCACGTGAGAAGTTCACCACTTCCCCCTCCCACGTGTGAAGATCGCCACGTGGCAAATTCACTACCTCTGCTTCCACTTCCCGATCCCGATCCCCTCCACCAGACTCCGCCCACCTTCGCCGACCTTCGCCCACCTCTGCCCACCTTCGCTCCACCCGCCCACCTCCGCCCACCTCCGCACTCATCGGCCCATCTGCGGTCCACGCGGCCACCTCCTCTACGCCCACCTCGGCCCGATTGATTGAAAGGGTGGTCGAAGGATCATCGCGGTTCCCTCCGAGAGAGAGAGAGATTCCCCGCCCCCTCCGCTGCTTCCCCCTCCCACGTGCGAAGATCGCCACGTGGCAATTCCGCTACCTCCACTTCCACTTCCCGATCCCGATCCTGATCCCCTCCACCCGCCTCCGCCCACCTCTGCCGACCTTCGCCCACCTCCGCCCACCTTCGCTCCACCTCCGCCAACCTCC